AAAGTCATAAACATCTGGGATGGCATGAGGGTGAGTCAATGATGAGAGAGTTTTCATTTTTGGATGAACTATCCCTTTAAAGAGCCAGATGTGATGCAGAGGCCAGAAACATTTTCTAGACATAATATAAGCACTTGTGATGAATTAATGAAAAGTGACCTAGAATTTAAACTGACAACATTAACTTTGTGAAAGGCCACGTTTTGTGTTGTCTATTCAACACCCGTCTGTAACAATAATTCATCTTTTAATTGTTTATTTGGGGCATTTAGAGTTTTTTTTTCTCAGCAAATATTGATGTAGAATTATTTGTGACTGATTAGATTAATTAATGAGAAAATCATGTAATTATTTAGATAAATAATAATTATAATAAGAATTAATTGACAGTCCTAACTGTTACTCAGTATATCATTGTAATGCCACTTTATCCACTCCCTAATAAGAGCATCACTAAACATGACTTACAATTCATTTAACATACAATACTCATTTAAAGACTTTTTTGGAGATTTGTAACATTTAATTTAAAAAAGCAATCATTCCCACCAAAACATGAATTGTATTTAAATTATCATCACTAATTTGATTTGCACTCAATTTTGTGCATTCAGCCAATATATTACATAGACATCTAGTGCCTATATCCATCCATCCATCCAAAATATGCTTCCTCATATTTGATGGCAAACTTTTTGATATTTACCTGATGAAAGTTAAAACTGAAGCTGAAATGTGTGTGCTTGATGCGTGAAAACAAACCTCATTGGTTCTCACATGTCACAAGCACTTTTGAACTTCTGCTTAACATATTTAATATGCATATGATAAAATAAAAATGCAAAAATGTAATGAGTACTTTTCATGTTGAAATAGAATTTTAGGAGTTAAAAGTACTGTTTTTTTCACAAATGTAATCAAGTACTAGTCAGTTTAAACTGTACTTGAATAAAGTAATACCACAAAATAATACTTAAGTACAGTAAACAAGTAAAATACTGAAATATTTTACACCCCTGATTATAGCAAAGCCAGAGAGTATGTGAAAAGTAAGTATGAGACCCATGTCTGTGTGTGTGTGCATACAGCAGAGAAGATCTGACACAGAGTGGTGGTTGATGGGAGAAGCCCTGGTGATTACTGATGCATGTTATTGCTGAAGGTCACCAGCAGGCAATTCACTCTAACTGATGAACTCCCACTTATTGATCTGTTGAGGGAAGATGAGGGAAGCCTCTGAGGACACATGCTGAGCCTCTGGGGATGCAGTTTCACTGTGCAGCCACGAGAACATGATGTCATGCTGCTGCGTGTGTGGTAGCGTATCAAAGCTGCGCTCTTTCACTTTACTAGTGTACATGTAAATAGAAGGTAAAGGGAAATATGGCATGATTACTTATTACAATTTCCCCCCTCAATACTCTGGACTGAATTAAAAGTCGACATATTCAGTGAATGCTGCTAAAATATATATATATTAAAAGTCGACATATTCAGTGAATGCTACTATATATATAGTAGCATTCACTGAATATGTTGACTTTTAATTTAATTAGTGACATTTAAGGCAAACATACTGTAAATACCTATAAGACTGTTGTAAAGGTTCTTTTTTGGTCTCTTTGGTTACATGAAGAACCTTTACTATCCATTAGGGTTGTAGATTTTGATGTGAGATTTTCACAGTATGATAACCGTCTCAGAAAATATCACAATTTCACGGTTTCACAGTATACCGTATCATTCAATGTGATTTTATTTTGATTAATGTGAACTCAAGTCCTACTACTTAAACTCATTCAACTCTGTATTTTATGGTTTGTTCTTCTTTTTTTCATAACATTTTGGTTTCTACTATTCCCATTGCTTGCAGACGTTTTATTCACACACGCCTCCTTCACAATATAGCAACCTAACATTTTTTGAGTTGTATGTCAAGTGTTAGTTGAGAAATCTCTTATGGGCGAGTGTTGTATTTCTCTGCAAATGACAAGAACACTGCTTGTTTACTTGCTTGAGAGACCCTAACTTTAGCCTAGCTTTGATTAGTTGTGCTCTTGTAGGTTTCCATCATGGGCGTCACTAGGCCATTTTTAGGGGGGCTATAGCCCCCCTAAAAATGGCCTAGTGACGCCCATGATGGAAACCTACAAGAGCACAACTAATCAAAGCTAGGCTAAAGTTAGGGTCTCTCAAGCAAGTAAACAAGCAGTGTTCTTGTCATTTGCAGAGAAATACAACACTCGCCCATAAGAGATTTCTCACTAACACT